CTCTCTGATTTTCACACAGACAGCCAGTGGTCTCCGTAAATCCATTTAAGCAAAAGCATGCGCAAAGAACGGTAAATGTCATCGTTACCCCTCTCCATTGCAAACCAAAGGGGATGAATGGCCGTTAACCTTGGACCTAGCCCATACGCCTTTTCCTTTCGTGTCAAATTTCCCCAGCACACAGGCGCAGACGAGGTCATTTAGGTAATTGCTAAGAAGGCTACCACACTAAAAAGGACAGAAAGTTCCAGTGTAGAGTTACCCGAACGTTGGGGTGCAACTCCTACATGACGTGTAAATCGGAGTGTACAGAAATTGACACAGCGGATTTTTCCCCTCACCTACATTCACCCATCTCTGCATATGTTTTGCCAAAGCTCCCGAAACGGACATGTGCTACCAAAAGGGAACTCATTTCCCTGTCGCTTCTATCAGGTGTACCGTAGGATACTGCGCATTTAGGAAAAAATAAAAGAAGCAAAATACCCTCCGAAATGGGCTCCAAATGAACGCTTATCATAATAGGGAATCGTGGGGATTCATTCCGGTGGGCCCTTAAAAACAACACTACATGGTCGATTAAGCAGTTTGTGTGTGTGTCACGTGACCACGCCTCTTCATAATAGCATTTTTAAAAAGTTCGCCAAAAGGGTTGGGAAAAACTTCGAAAAAGGAAAGCGCTGCGATATTCATCGCTGAAATCGGGTGATAAATGGACACAGCAGAAGTGGGGGGAAAGACATAGAGAAGGTAGGATATCTTCAGAATGGGGGGATAGCTTCAAATTGTGACAAAAAGAAAAAAAAAAAAAACTCACCCGCCAGCACACACACACAGACATATATACATATATATATATGTTTCTATATATGTGATACACCCGTGTGTATGAGTGCCCCTAAATGGTGAGAAAAACAACTCACGCGGGGAGGATTCTAAATATCCGGTCATCGCGAAGCCAACCCGCCGTTGCCACTCGTCTGAAGGGAACGGATGCGCGTTAAATGAAAAAATCAGGGAAAAGGAAAAAAAAGGAAATCACATAAATACAGGAGTTGAAACAAAACAGGATGAGACAACTGAATTGAGACGTCACGAAAGCGTTGACATGGGGTGTGATATGTGTTTGGTGAGACAGACAAGTCAGGACCATCTTGACACCATTTGGATTGGTACAAGGGAGGGGTGCTAGCCAGATGAGAATTATCGACAAGGGTGGATTGGATCGGAGAGATTCCCACCTTTTAGGGCAGATATCCCAGCAACGATGCGTTTGTTGTGGCGTGACGGGGGCGATGTCCCTTGGAAGGTCGTCCACCTAGTCACTCCGTCACGACATCACTGCTTCACCGCGTCACCGCCGCTCCCCCCCCCCTAGATGTATATCAAATACACCGCGTTGTCCTCGCGCCGGAGGGCCCACTCGTTCTTCTTCTTGTAACTAATATCTATGTAGTCGTCCGAGAGGTACAAGTAGCTGAGCTTTATCCTGGAGAGCTGTATGTCCCTGGCGCACTTGGATTGAATTTTTAAGAACCCACTAAACAGACCCGCATTTGTGCAGTTCCATATTTTGAACGAGAGATCTAGCTTGGAGTACGAAGCCAAGCAGGTCCCCGTGCTGTTGAAGTTAATACAATCAACGTCTCTCTTATGCCCTTGAAAAATTTTCAATTTTTTTGCATTCTTCAAATCGTATAGATAAATGCACTTAGTCATATTATTTGCCACCGCCAATCTTTGTGTATATTTATTAAAGCAGCAAATCCGGTATTGCTTAACTAAGGTGTATATTAAGCTGGTAGATAACTTCAAACATAAGATACGAACGTTGTTGGAGGGGTCCAGAGAATTCAAAACGATATCAATAATTATGTCCATGTAGAGGACAAAGATAGGTTTATAATTTTTTATCAAAATGATGAGAAGGAAGAGAATTTTATTCATACATGATACTCTTCGGTGGACATTACTCGTTATATAATGTAGCGTCTTTAAGAATAAATAAGGCTCCGTCCTTCCTGTGTTAATTAATAACTTTAAAAAACTCATATTATTCATCGACAGTGTGTACAGATCGAAGATATTCAGAATGAAGTGACATATGTTAATGTAGTTATGTTCATTTATTTGTGATTTTTTTCGGTTCATTTGGAGCATCTTCATTCTGCTCTCATCACATGATAAATGGTACAATTCGTTGTAATAGCTTTGTCCTCTTCTTATCGTTTCCACAGGATGAATTTGATCTGCTGAAGTGACTTGATTGATAACTCCAACGACTATTGGGGATGGCCCTGACCCATTTGTTCCTATATCGAGAACTTCATTTGATTTTCCCAGGATAGCGCTCTTCCCTTCACTGGGTACCTCAGAGAAGACATTTTCATAAGACTGCAGTGGCAACTGTTCTTCCCTCTCCGATTCGATCTCTCCTCCCACTTTTCCGTTATCTGGGCCTGCGAGAAAATCGTCCAGGTAATTGTTTAAATTTATTTCATTCACGGAGGGGCCTACCGTTCTATCGCTTCCTGCAAGGGGCATGGCGGCCCCCGCAAAAGGAGCGGTAGAAGCGACAGAAGCGGTAGAAACCCCAGGAGCCACGGCTGCTTCTGCCGCTGCTACCCCTGGGGGTGGGGCCCCTAGAATGTAATAATCCCTCAGTGCCTTAAAATAATTCTCATCAATCATCCTCTCGTTCATATTAAAATCTTCCTTCTTTAAATGCAAATTGAAAGAAAGGTACGACATATTCTTCATATTGCTGGTGAAAATGCCCCTCTGGACCAGCACGTGAAAATCCCAGGTTATGGAAAAGCTCAAGGACAGCATGTGAATAAAGTGAAACAACTTAAATTTGTTAAATTTGTTCTCCTTCTCGATTAGATACTGCGTGTCCACAAAAATGTAGTAACATATGTGATGCACAATTAGGGTAATCATATTCGCATTGGTATAGAACGTTTTCGAGTTCCTCAAATAATGCGATTTAGTCAGAAGTAGTAGGAGTAACAGAGTGAGGCAGATCTCGTCAGCATAGATGAACGGGTAAAAGAAGAAGGATCCCACTTTTGGTATCATAATGGTAATCACATAGGTCCCCGTCGTGTCATATAGGGATATTTCATCCATGTTCTTTTGTATGATTCTTTTTTTCTTATTATTTATTCTTAAAATTTCTGTACACGTTTTCGCATACTTGTCCAAAGTCTTCTCCTTCACATTGGCTATCACGGTGCACATAAACCTTTGCAGCTGTATTCGTATGCTCTTATCATATGGGTACATAGATATGTAGCTCAGAAGAAACAGGTTTAGCGTGTTGCTATCGGGTAGGTTCTCTATTATGTATTTCCTAAAGGTGAACAGCGTGGCGGGGTCGTACTGCCCCCCCTTGCTACTGGCGCACCACAGACTCAGGAATCGCAGCATAAAGCAGCAGTACAGCGTCTTCACGTACACGCTGTTGCAGTAAACATCCACGGAATTGTTCTGGAAGAGGAGTTTCCGGTGGACGGGAGGACTCCTCCCTTGGGTTTGCACATGACGGGTGTGGCTACCACGATTGGTATGGCTGCCACGATGGTGGAGCCCTGTGGAGCGACGATGCCGATCACTCTTCACATACAGGTACAGACTCGACTTGTCCGACGAATAATTGGCGAACTCATCATCTGAGTATTTCAAAAACCACTTGGTCGACCCTGCCATGGTCCGCCGACGCACCCTCAGATCTTTGTAATAATTGTACTGCATCATATGGTACTTCTTCCTCCTCGCTGCAGTGCTGAAAATTTTGGGATCTTCTACACTATTCAACGGACAACAGCTGGTACCTGAGGAGGCATTGCGAATGAGTCTCTTTGCAACCCCTCCTTCGCCCTTAACCGGTTGGTTATGTACCCCATAAGGTTCTTCCTTAAAGCTGGACCTCTCAGGAGAGTCACCACCACGGGCACTATTGCAGTTAAGACAAGCGGCACTATTGCTACCACTCTTTCTGTTGCCATGACTTTGTGTGGGGTCACGTCTACTTTTTAGCATCATCTCTGCCTTGTCCCGTGGCAGTTCCGTCTTTTTCGTCTCTCCCTGGAGTTCTTCCGCCCCAGATGGATCAGCGCCTAGAGTTCCCCTCGGATCCACGTTAAAGAGGCTGCTCCCCTCGTCATATCTATACATCTGCAAATTCCTATATTTCGAAAATTCCATAAAATTGTTGCACCGTCGCTTGAGACTCCCCATCTTGATCCCAAAAATGAGGTACTTCTTTTTATATTCTTCACTTAGGAAAAATTTTTTCTTAAATCTGTTATTGTATATGTATGGCTCATCCAAATGCAGGGAATCAAAAAGGAATTTTTCTTTTTTCTTCTTCTGCTGCATATGGTATTTGTCTCTCCTTCCTCCACTGATCGTGACATAAACTTTTCCCTCACACGTACCCTCCTTCAGTGAGTGCATCTTGGAGAAGTAATATATCTGAGTCGACATCGGGATAAGCGTCGACAGAGTGGATTCCTTCCCGTGGATACACAACGAGAATGGAATCGAGGGGAAGCTCACTAGAAAGGGAAATAACTCCCTACAAAGATGCACACATTTGGGTGGCAGAAAAAAAGGGAATAAAAACTTCGTCAATGGCAAAGCCTTTTGGGACAAATTGCTGTCTCTGAATAGAACGTAACTTATGACTGGTATCTGGCTCTTCACAATGTAGCTGGAGGGGTGCTTCTCATTTGCCCTTCCATGTGCTTCTGCCCTTCTATGCACTTCTGCCCTTCCATGCACTTTTGTGCGGGGGGTGCTCTTCCTTGGTGGGATGCAGTGATATACTTCTTCTCTATGCTCGTTTTCGCGCTCCGCGAGGAGGATGCTGCCTTGGGGCACTCCTCCACTTTCGGTTCTGACCCTCCTCCGGTCGTCGCTCAGGCCGCTGCTTCCGTCGCTACTCCTATGGCTGCTGTTGCAGCTGCCAACCTCCGCGCGAACTTCCCCCCGAACTACCGTGTTAACCTTCCCGTCAACCCTGCTGCCACCTGTGCGCACCCTGTTGAGGACGCGCACCGACGTGACGTCTACGCCGAGTTTCATGTGACATGTCTCCGTGGGGACGACGCACATGGCAGCAAAGTCCGAATCGTACAAACACCGCAGGAAGCACCCGCTGCCATACTCATAAATGAAGACCAAATTATTCAGCGAAGTGATATACAACAGAGACGAAAATGTATTGACGTAGACATGATTTATTAATTTGAAATTTATTTCATTCTTCTTCTCCAGCTTCTTAAAAGAACAGTAAAGACATACATTGATCATATTCTTTATCTCCCCATGATGTCTCTTCCTCTTTTTATGAATCTTTCTCTTCACATTGAACAAGGTTCCTTTGGAATCACAAACAGGTCTGCTCATGGTGCATGAGGTGGCATAATAGAAACCCTCCATTAGCTTCACCTTTAAGTCTTTTTTAATTTTTAGCATGTGCAATAGGCTGTCTTTTCTTTCCGTAGCTTTTCCGTTATTGTATAGTCCTTTTTTTTTAAAGAAATTTCTCATATAATTTAAAAAGAGGATTTTCTTTTTTTTTTTTTGGAGAATCTCGAGCTCTTTCTTCCTTAACAATTCTTCGTCTGTCGTTATGGCTATTCTGCATCTATCATTTTTGCAAAACAGATATGAAAAATTATTCTCGTCGTAGTTGCATTCATTCAAATTGAGAAGAATGAGATTGTTGCTGGCATCACAGCTTAGAACCCAGAAGGATTCCGTTTCTTTGCTCACTGAACATGTGCCCCCTCCTCTGTTGGTGGCATTTTGATCGATAACGCTATGGATGCTTCTCACGTAGTTAAAATGGCAAGCCTTGATAAACTTTTTCAACTTAAAGCTTCTGATGTCCCATATTAAAATGTCTCCTCTGCTGGACCCTCCTACCAGGTAGTTCCTCTCACAATGGAGAGTCGTTATGAAGACACTTTTTTTTACGACATAGTGGGGAAGGGGTAACTCTCGGATTAATCTACTTCCCGGCCCATTTGTTTTCCCTTCTCTCTTTCTTATGATTTTTCCTCGAGGGGACTTTCCATAAGAATTAATTAACGCACTTAAAACACGCCCATTGGTAAAGCTTAAAAAAACGTATATGTTTTGATTCCGCTCTGCTATTGCGTACGCCACTATGGATTTACCTCCCCTATCGACTTCTGCTCTTTCAGCATGCCCCCCTTCAACAGTGCACTCCTTATTGTGCAATAAATCGGTGAGCAGATCACTGCACCTACGTATGTTCGGAGGAAGGACATGCTCCATATGCAACCACGCAGTAGCATCCCAGTTATCTTCCTCCCTAACTTCGGGGTTCACTTTAACGGGTTCGTCTCCTTTTCCACCCAATATGGTATCATTTTTATTCTCCTTATTCTTCATCGTTTGCATGACTCTCTTCCTCTTTGGCAAGAGCCAGACTTTCTCCAACCTGCTCGTCTTAAACCAGGCACTAAGTAACCCCTCAAATAGGACAATTCTATGAGGACTCTTCCTACTTATAAAAAGAAACAATAAATCATCTTTGCATTTGGCATATTTCATAGAATTGATGTTTTTCCCTCTGGTACCTCTACCGATCGTATTGCTTCGGGGCCAATTCCTGTACTCATAAGAGGTGTGTCTAGTAAACATCACCTGATCATTCGAAGCGGTGTTGGATTTTATCGAATCCATTGATATGTTTCTTTTTAAATAACTTCGATTTATCTCCGTACTGTCATTTATTTTGATTCTAAACTTGTTACTATTGTTGTAGTTACTCCCCCCTTCGTTATGATTGCTCGCTCTGTTTTCCTCTCCGTCGTCGTCGTCATCCGTTAGGAAGTTCCTCTTCCGGCATATGCGCTCCTTGTATATCACTATAGGGATGGGGCTCTTATGTGAACCCAAGTACTTCTTCGGAACACTCATCAGGAAGAAGGATTTAATGTTTGACTGGAAGGACAGGAAGAGACTAGAAAATTTCAGCGGCAAAGTGTAGCTGTAGAAGTTTCCCTCCGTTGTCCAGGCGATTATCGAGCCGCACACATTCTTCGACATCTTCTGCATGATGTCGAAGGATTTTGTTTTCAGTCCGCTGCTTTTGAAGATACCTAAGGGGGGATAGCGGCGTAGGGGTAGTGGGAAGTGGAGGTATTGCGAAATAGTGGGGAGTAGAAGTAGTACGACATAATAGGGAATAGAAGTAGTACGACATAATGGGGAGTAGAAGTAGTACGACATAATGGGGACTGCTTCGTGCCCCTCAGCCACACCGCTTATCCACGCGGATGGGAAGGACCCCATAACTTACCCGAGGAAAACCTCAAGAGGGGACGGCGCACAACCTGCAGGCCAACCCAGTGCGGGTTCCGGCGCTTCCTCTTCTGCGACTTCTGGTGGTAGTCCGGACAAAACAAATCCATCAGGGGCACAAACATGGAGGAGGAGTCCTTCTGCTCATAAATGATTAACCTCGTTTCCTGCAAAATTATAACGTAGCTGTCTATGACCCCTATACGGCTGGAGTTCCCACTGGTAGCAATTTCGAGCCAATCTTCAGCTGGAGTCAGATTCGAAATAAACGTAGGTTCTATGATATACAACCCATTGCACTGTTGGTACACATCTTGACACTTCAAACATCGGTCATGCGATTTCAAATTCATGTCATGAGAAGTATGCACATTGATTTTTAGCACTTCATCCATAATACAGTTCTCTGTAATTTCATTCACAATTTCTTTGTATAAGTCAAGTTCCGTTTTTTCTATCCTGATTACAAATCGACACTTCCCTTTGTAGTAAATTAAAAAATCGGTTAAGTCCCAACATATGATGTCTCCATTGGATAGCGACGCAACAATGAATACTGGGCAGCTGAATAGATTATTTAGTTTCTTATTAACTTCTTCCTGTTTCGTCTTTGTATATTCTTCATTCTGATCTGTGGATAAATTATTTCCACTCACCTCTGCCTCATTATCGTGTAACACAACCCGTTTTATATTTTCCTTCTTCCTATATGTGCTGTATAATTTTCTCTTCAATAATTTAAAGCATTGGATGAGGGATCTCTGGTTATCCTCCTTAAGGTATGGGACTAACCCTGTTGCGACGCAGCATATTCGTACCTTCTCTGTATGGTTACCTCCTTCGGTTTTGTCTTTATTTCTTAGATTTTCTTCCAAAGGTTTCCGCTCCTCTGATGCGACGTAGCTATTTCCTTGTCCCCTCACGTTCTGTCTTAAAGTCCCAACCCCAAGATTTGCATTCCTCCGATTGACATAGTTTTTTTTTAGAGAAATGGATCCCTCCTCTTCCTTTCCTTCCTCTTTTCCACCTCCCCTAGGTGCATCGCTCCCATATAGGAGAAAACTCCCATAGGGTGTATCACTCTTGTCAGTCATTTCACTCCATGATCCTGGTGCTCCGACTTGAAGTTCTCCTGTATCCCCCCCATCGATAAGGACTCTATCGTTCATTTCCTCCGAACTGGACGACGAAGAGTGGTGTCTATCGGCCGAATCTCCAATGAAGTAATTCCTACTTGTACCAGAAGAACCTTTATTACCGCAATGATTTGAATTGGGAGCGATACCTGGGATGCCTGCATCTCCTCGCCCGACCCTCTCCCCTTGCAACTTCTCACTCCTGTTATTCCTCCCCTTCATGTAGTTATCCAAAGTCAACTGGGCAATGATCTCTCTGCTTTTATTCCCCCAGAGATCCATCAGAAGGACCTTCCTATCTCCACACAGGACTATGAACCGCCTATCTGGCAACACCCTCAAATTGTAGATAAAAAAACTGAAACCCTTTACTACTCTGAAGCATCTACCTTCATCAAGAGACCAAAAATAGAGGCAGTTATCGAGGTGAAGGGAAATTAGGATTTCCTTTGAGATGCACTCGATGAGGGACGAGCAAGAGAGCCCGAAGCATAACTGAACAATGCTGTTGCTACACGTGTTGTTGTTATTGTTTAGGAGGATACAGTATGGGAGAAAGTTTACTCTATTCTCTGGGGGCTCCACGTCTGCTTCCCCTCGGTCTGTTTTCCCTGGATTTGCTTCCCCTCCTGTTGGTTCCTCCCCCGGCTTGACATTCCACCCTCCTCCGCTGTACATATATGCGCTCGTTTCGTCACCGCTTAGCGGTTCCGTCTTTCCTCGTCCCTCTCCCCTATGGAGTTTAGCCCCACTACCCTTATGTACCCTGTCGCCTGGTTCTCCTGCCCCTGGGGAATTACTACTCATCGGGGTTTCATTCTCATCTGGATGCTTCCCCGCAAGACTGAATTTGTCCCCTCCCCCGGCGCCTTTTTTCAATTCCTGTTTGTAACCTCCACCTGGCGATACAAAGACGGCACCCACACTGTCTACGCCAATCACACCTGTTTCATTCGAACCGGGGTAACTCGTACTGCCACAACTACCGCCTCCTCGCGCGCTACTTGCATTCTCTCCAACTTTAAACAAGACGATGCTGCCCTCGTAGCTGCCCACGGATAGAACGGTGCATCCCTCATTCATGCAGTAGCATGAGATGCTAAAGGGGGATGTGAAGTTGGGCCATATGATGGATCCTAATTTTAAATCCTCGTTCATTGTTTATTCATAGTTGTATGCATAATGAGGGGGGAGGACGTGGGGGCTGCGAGGACACTCGTGGAGAAGGTAGGACGTTTGGCGCTGGAAACTTCGTGGTAACAACTTGGCGGTGTCGCACCTGCTTGATGGACGTGGGTAGCAGCGCAACAATCAAATAAAGTCAGCTTAGTCACAGCCAGTCGGACAACCGAATCGCCCAAATCAAATTTGAAATGTTCCTTCCTCTGAAGCTCGAACATTCATGTCTCCACAAGGCTTCTTTCATATTAGGATGAGTAACACATTGGTTCCATCCCCCTTCTCTGCTTCTTCACTGCTTTGTGTGGCGGTGTGTTCGTCGAGGGCCCCAGAATGCCGCTCGTTCACAGCCTGGTTGTTATTATGTGTCTCTTTGGTTTGGCCTCCGTCACTTTGGTTAAGCTTCTGTCATTGAGCTTATTCTATTTATTTCGTTCTTTTTTTTTTCCCCGGTAGATATCTGCTCAGCTTCGCGCTGCGCCCAATACTCCGCCCGCGTGCAGCTGCCGCCAGCAGGTTTGGCTTATTCTGCTCGCCTTTCGTATACGTTTCTCCTTTTTGCCGCACGTCGCAGAATGTTCAGTCGCACATAAGCAGTTTAACTGCGCACAATGGACTTCACTCAACTCCGGGCAAATGGCCTTCTTAATTGCGCACAGTCTTTTTAATCCCTTTTTGCTTTTTTTTTTTTTTGGCCCTCACCTGGTAAAAATAGAATTCGTTTGGTAACATTTCACCTTCGTCCCGCTTAGCGTTAGCGTGTGCCTTGGTCATTCCTCCCTACCCATGTATAGCTGCCCCCTAGAGGCGCATGCACATATTGCATCACCCCGCCCCCCTGTGATGGCAAAGATACTTATTATCAATTCTATCCGATCACATGGAAGCAAAACGTACAGGAATGGTTCCCTTCTTGCGCTTTTCAAACGTTAGAAAGATAAAATGCGGCTGGCCCAGCTTAACCGTTCTGACTACATCCTCTAAAGGGGGGACTGTCGGCGCAGGAGCCCTTCTCTGTTTGTAAAATTGACTCACCCAGAAGGTCCATAACCAATGGAGCAAATGTGACAAGAGATAACACTTGGTTAACCAAAAGAAGTGTAAGATGAGAAAGCAGGGAAGGAATAAACTAAAGGGGGTAACCCATGTACTTATGCCGCTGCCGTAATACCTGCACGTGTCTCATCTAGGTTCCCCCCAGTAACTGTTAATTTGTGTACCCGTGGAGAACGCCATAGGCACACATTTCTGGGACGCCAATCTATGGGACTTCCATCTGTGGAGACAAAGACCCCTCGTCATGACCTGCCACAACTTGTCCGTATGAGGAAACCCTCGCAGGGAATTTCTTAACCTAGTCGAACTCCCCGTCCTGGGGGTGGCTACGGCTACCTAGACATTTTCGAAAAATTGCGCGAACGGTAGAGGTCCCCCAATGTAATCGTAACTTTGTAAGAATAACTTTTTTTTTTTTTTTTCTGCTCCGTCAAGTCTACTCGATCTTGCTACGGAAGGGACCACAAGAATGGTGCTACTCTTTTTTTAACCCCCCTTTTCAGTTTTTATTTCAAAAAAATACGTCTATAAATGGGACAATTGTCGTAATTCTCCCTCGTGGAGGGTCTACAAAGTGTGATGCCTTCGCCCCAATTGGGTTCCCTACGCTGGGGTGACTTGGCGAGGCGTAAGGTAGATTGGCACAGGGAGAACCTTCGCAGGTGAGAGGCCTAAAACAACTTAACCTTCTCCTCTAAATTGACCTTCACCCGGGGGGTAACATCCGCTTCCCCCTCCTTACACAGGGGCAACACAAGGACATCCTAGGGACACCACACCGCAATCCAAAAAAAAATTGCAATTTTTTCCACTATTCGGATTCTCATTCGTTAAAAGTTAATTTGAAAATTGGGATGATAAATTATAAAAATGAGGAACGATGAATCGACACGCACGTCATTGGACTGGTACACATGTCCGCATAGGTATGTACGGGACACACAAATGAGACTCAAGCAAACGCTCGTTGTCCCTACGAGAACTTGCGTAAAATCTGCACAATTCAAAAAAAAAATAGTGAAGAAGGGGTGAGGTGAAAATGTGAACTAATAAAGCTACTCTTCATGTGAAGGTATCACGGCAATGGGAGGGGGAGGGAAATTTCAAACAAACTTTAAAAAAAAAAAAATAAATAAAGCGGAGGTGTGCCCGCTGCGCCCGCGTGTCCGCATCAGATGGTCACCTCTACATGTTCCTTTGAAACATATTAAAGGGGAAGGGGTGCAAAAATGACCATGTGGCTAAAAGGGCGAAAGCACGACATGGCAAAAGGCAAAACAACGCTTTTAACAACACAATAAAATTAAACTAAGCCACCTTCCCCCCCCCTTCGAAGTCATATGTTTAAATATGGCTCTTTTAGGCAAAAAAAAAAAAAACTTATTTAAAAATATAAACAAAGGAGGAGACTTTATAAAGAGGCAGGAAAAACGATAAAGGTGGCGGGAGAACAAATTTGCAAACGGGTACCCTATGCGGGTGCGCATATATTGTGCATAGAAATATAAGACGCTGATGCACTGGGTCTGGGGGAGGTTCATACGCACATACAAATACGTAGATATATGCCTAGTCGTAACCCTAATTGGCATGCTGTGTGAAGTGCTCAAAATGGGGAAAAAAGCACACGACAAAAGCGCCCATCCAATGAAGGGCGAGCGCACAAATAGAGGATCTTCTCCACACCCCCCCTTCCTTGACAGTTTTTATTTTAAAAAAAAAAAAAAAGGATTACCCTTGGGGCCGATCTTCATCTGTGCCACGGGCATATATAACACCTCTGTTCCGATCACCACCACGGTCGCTTTGTTTTTCTCCTTTTCGTTCGTCCGACCGGCTCCAACACGGTTCCATACGTTCAGGTGAATCAGAGTCTCGCTCTATGTTACTTTTTAGAGAATTGGCCCTGTTTCGCTCATTGATTCTTGTGAATTCCGCGTGGGATGCACTTTTGGTTGCTCCCCCCCTTCACGGGCATTCGACTCGCTCTCACCGCTCGTCACATTCGCCACATCCTCCTTGTCTTCCTCTAAAGCGACGCCCTCACTTGCGTCAGGCCCCTTTTCGCTCCTCTTCTTATCCTTTCCATCGTAACCTTTTAGCCAATGCAGTCTATCGAACAGGTACTTTTTCACTGTGCTTTGTTTCTTCTGACCATTTCTGGCGTCCGCTACGTCTTCTGCAGCTTCTTCTTCTATCCCTGCCGCTTGCCCCGCCCCTTCCCCCACTGCAAACGACCTCGGCGAACCTCCGCCATTGGCCTCCTCAACGCCGTTACAAGAGCTCAAACTATTGTGCCCATCCACATGCTGGCTGTTCCTCGACTTCTTCCGCATATTTTCCTTTTCGATGTCACTCTCCTTGCATTGCCCAGAGCTCTTGTTGCTGTTGCTTCCGTTACTATACGCTGAGCTGACTTTTTCGTAAATCCTCTTTTCGTTTTTCTTCGACGCACTGCTAACGCTTCCCCCTTGCTTCTCCTTGGGGTTACTGCTACTGCTGCCCTTTGCACTGGGGCTCCTAGAACAATCATCACTTTTGGGACACGAATCCGGATGTATGGCATCTCTCCTGGGATCTTCCTTCTGCTTATCATTACAGCTGTAAGTATTCGTCCGATGAGCATCATTCACGTCAGTGATGCTCGTGGGAGGCCCCTCATCCTTCTGCACGTTGCAACTTTTATTCATATTTCTAGGTGCACCTTGAGAAAGGGGACCCCCTGGATCTAGGCCTCCCTCCCTTAATCCGTCTTCTCTAAACACGCCATCCACGAATCCGCCTCCCTGTCGGTGGGAATCATCTCTCCTATTGGTCACATACGCATGTGCAGCATTCATAAAAGCAGAGGTCTCAAATCCGTCGACTGTCAAGTCAAATGGATTGGCCTGATCGGCCCTCGCCGTAGGTTCATAATCGCTCGTCCTGGTAATCTTCATCGATCTGATGACCCCCAATGTTTGATCTCCCATGTTATCTGTGATGATCCCTTGTCCAATGTCCAAACTGTTATCAGCATCAAACATCGTAGATGGGTCGAACATATTATCTGTTTCGTTCATTCCGCTGGGTACGGCTTCGTAAACCCTACTCCTTACACGTAACCCGTTGGTGTTAACTCCTCCTCTTGCATCGTTGTGGTTTGTGCTTCCATAGCTTCTATTTTCACTCGAATTATTATTACTACTGGTGCTGTTTCCCTCCTCAGCACGGTTCTCCTCGTTCCTGTTCGATGCGTTTCCTTCCCCAGTGGGCCCCTCCACAGGACCTTCCCCACCTCTCTCATGACCTCTGTCATGTCCATTCCGGCTATCACCAGTCCTGTTGCTGCTTATGGAAAATACTTGCGGAGCAGAGACAAACCCGCTTCGCCTATTCGTGTCGTTATTTCCAAGGATAAACGTATTAAAAATATTTTGTATAATGCTCTGCGTCTGTGCAGAGGCAAACCCTTCAACCATGTTGATGTCGTATTCTTCAGTGATGGGAATGTACCTCCCCCCTCCTTCCTCTGCGCCGCCGATCTGCTGTGTTGACGGACTATTCACTTGCGCGGAAGTGACATGTTGCGGCGCAGTAGTAGGAGTAGCCTGAGTAGTGGTACCACTACCCTGCGCAGTAGTAGAAGTGGCCTGCCCACTTGTACCGCTAACCTGCGTAACGGTGCCGTCGTGTCTATTTGCCGACGAGGCGACATTCCGACCAGGAGATTTCTCCGTCCCCGGTGCACCCTCGTTGTTCCCCTGTGAAGAATCATTACTCCCTCCACCGACGTCACCTCTCCCAACCCCACTGTTACTCAATGAAGTACTATCCATGTTAACACCGTTAGAATTGCTAAACGTATTATTGCGAGAGATTTCGGAGTTTATTCTTTCCCGTAGTTCCTCCCTCTTACAGTTGTATTCATGATCATCCGTGGGAAGCTCAAAGCGGCAAGTGGGACAAGAGTTTCTTTCTTTCAACCAGGGAATGATACACGAACAATGAAAAACATGACGACAACGCTCATTATCTGTTACCCTATGGACCTCATCATTTTCTTTATATTCTTCTCTACATATGGCACATGATTCTAACTCTTCTGCTCTGTCCTTGGTTAACACTTCCACTTTCAGATTTTTTATAACTGCTTCCGACGCTGGAGGGGGTCCATTTCTAGATGGGTCACTCTCCATGATTATTGTTAACACTTGGTCTAGAGAAATGTTGTCAAATGAGTTGGTTAAAATGTTGTCTATTAGGTCGTGGAAGTTTAATCTGATTGGCGAGTTCAGGGGGATGTTCGTAATGTCAATTGCTCTCGTGATAATTCTTGGACTCCTGGCATTCCTGCCGGGTCCGCCGCTGGCATTCGCGGTGCTGCCATTCACGCTGTCGGTATTAACGCTAGTGCTGTTCATCCCGCTGACATTTACATTGCTCCCATTGACGCTGTCACTGACCCGGCCAACCCCTCCGGCGCCGCTAACTCCGGTAAACCCGCCCAATCCGCCCAACCCACCAAATCCCCCCAGTCCGCCAAATCCGCCCAGCCCGACACCCCCACCTTCACTGTCCGCGGCGCCATTGTTGTTTATGTAGTTCCTGCCAAAGAAGACCCTACCCTGCGCATCATTCCGAGGTGCACTATGGGGCATTCCTCCCTCCCCAGCGGGGGCACCAAAGTTGGCGGTAAAATGGATGTCCGCGTCCGCGGGTCTCAAATTCGTGTTGAACATCTGCTGGTACACATTTCGGAACATCATCAAATCGTTAAAAAAGTTTTCACTCGTTCCGAAGAAGCCGCTGTTGCCGCTTCGGTTTCCCTGTCTACTGCTCTCACGGTTGTTTCCACTTCCCTCCGTGGAGGAGCCTCTCCCACCACGACTATCATTCCCGTAAGGAGTGTGTACATTGTTTGCATAATCGGCCCTAGCACCACCACCTTCTTCGTTCGTATTCCGTCTCTCCCTATTAGAATTAATCGAATGAAAACTCAAGGGGTCATCTTCGTCAATTTTCTCCACAAATCCCACGTGATTGCAGCTTTTACATTTTATCTCCCCGTCGTATATAATCTCGATATCGCTAGTTCGTTTCACATCCTCACAACTATGACAAAAGTACTCATAATCATCAACCTGATTCATAATAATATGAAGGTTTTTCCGTCAATTTCTGTAACAAATGGGTAGCTTCTCACACGTTGGACAAAAAGAAAGAGGAATAAAAAAAACATGCGACAAGATTTTGCAGTGATGATGATCAGTAAAAAGGCGATG